GCCAGAATACAGGGAGTTGCAGTAGTCCAATCGGCAGGACACGAACAGATGGATGACATGTTCGAGGACATTAGCAGGAAGGTATGGCTTCACCTTTGCTATCTGCCTTAAATGATAAAAACCTGATTGGACCACTGCACTCACCTGTCTGTGAAGATTACAAGAACCGTCTAAAAACACACCAAGGTTTGTAACACAGGGTTTTAGAAAACCAGAACAAGGACCAAGAGGACTAACAACGTTGTTTAAAAGATTAGGACTGCCAAATAGTAACGTTTCAGTTTTTTGATTGTTGAGCTTAATGGACATCCATTGTTTGACGCTTTTTAAGCATTCCAGTAATGAGCCGATTGACCTGGCATTACTAAGTGGTAAATAGATCTGAAGGTCATCAGTGAAACAGTGAAAAGTAATTTTATACTTCTCAAAAATAGAGCCTAAGGGGAGCATATACAAAGAAAAAAGTGCTGGACCCCTGAGACACCCCACATGTCAGAGGTGCTGTTTTCGAGGTAAAAGGTCCCAGATTAATGGAAAATAACCTCTTGTGAAGGTAGGATTTAAACCACTGGAGAACAGCACCTCGGAGACCAACGCATGACTCTAGGCGGGACAACAAGAAGCTATGATCGACGGTGTCAAAAGCAGCCGACAGATCAAGTAAAACCAAAGCTGCTGACTGGCCCGAATCAGCAATTAAAAGAAGATCATTAAAAACTCTTAAAAGAGCACTTTCAGTGCTATGACGGGGCTTAAAACCTGACTGAAATTTTTCTGAAATGTTGTTAAGGGACAAGTAGTCCTGGAGCTGAGAGTAAACAACTTTTTCAAGAACTTTAGACAGAAAAGTCAGTTTTGAAACTGGCCTAAAATTAGAGAGAACAGTCTGGTCAACATTTGGCTTTTTGAGAAGAGGCTGAACAATGGCCTGCTTAAAACACTGGGGAACACGACCTGAGGAAAGGGAAGTATTAAATAACTTCAGGATGAAGGAACAACACTGTCAAACGATTTTTTAGCATAAAAGATGGAAGACAGTCCAAGGGGCAATAAGAAGATCTCAAGTGATGAACAATAACTGATAATTCCTCTAAAGACAAGTTGAAATTGGCACCAGGAGGAAAAGCACTGAGGAAAAGAAGTCTCGGATTCACCTTTTAGGTAGAATTACTGACATTTATAAGATGCAACCATTTCATGTGATCACAGTTTTAGTGGAGATGTCTCTGCATTTATTTAATGCTACAGCGAAAATCAGACAAATGAGCTGAAAGATTAACTGATCTATGATCAGCTAACTGAGGAATGCTGGTGACTCGCCAATAGGGGGCGCCAGGGGCCAAGGGAGAAAAAAATCTATTTACAGAATACGATTAGGGCCACCAAAAAGAAAAAAAATTCTGACTTCAGACTCAGAACAGTGTCAAAAAAAATTGATGTGAGTTTCAACCATGTCTGGCACATCATTAGAGATTTATCAGCTGGTAAAAACTGGTAATTAAGACAACTACAAATCAGACGTGGCACATATGACATCACAGCAGAAACTCTCCCAGCATTGCTGCTACTGACCACATGACCAGATTATCGTGGTTTTCTCCATGTTTACTGCACCTTCTGTCGTCCACACACACACAAACACACACACACACACACACACACACACACACACACACACACACACACACACACACACACACGCACGCACGCACGCGCACCGCACGCACGCACACACACACACACACACACACGCACGCGCACGCACGCACACACACACACACACCTTTTTTATTAGTTTCTGCATTACTGAAGTGCTCTAAAGGAAAGTCTGGCAGAGGTGTGATGTAACCCCTGGACTTCCTGACTGAGCCTCTCCACTGGTCCTGATGCTGAACACCACTGGTCCTGGTGCTGAACACCACTGGTCCTGATGCTGAACACCACTGGTCCTGGTGCTGAACACCACTGGTCCTGGTGCTGAACACCACTGGTCCTGATGCTGAACACCACTGGTCCTGGTGCTGAACACCACTGGTCCTGGTGCTGAACACCACTGGTCCTGATGCTGAACACCACTGGTCCTGGTGCTGAACACCACTGGTCCTGGTGCTGAACACCACTGGTCCTGATGCTGAACACCACTGGTCCTGGTGCTGAACACCACTGGTCCTGGTGCTGAACACCACTGGTCCTGATGCTGAACACCACTGGTCCTGGTGCTGAACACCACTGGTCCTGGTGCTGAACACCACTGGTCCTGGTGCTGAACACCACTGGTCCTGGTGCTGAACACCACTGGTCCTGATGCTGAACACCACTGGTCCTGGTGCTGAACACCACTGGTCCTGGTGCTGAACACCACTGGTCCTGGTGCTGAACACCACTGGTCCTGGTGCTGAACACCACTGGTCCTGATGCTGAACACCACTGGTCCTGGTGCTGAACACCACTGGTCCTGATGCTGAACACCACTGGTCCTGGTGCTGAACACCACTGGTCCTGGTGCTGAACACCACTGGTCCTGGTGCTGAACACCACTGGTCCTGATGCTGAACACCACTGGTCCTGGTGCTGAACACCACTGGTCCTGATGCTGAACACCACTGGTCCTGGTGCTGAACGCCACTGGTCCTGGTGCTGAACACCACTGGTCCTGGTGCTGAACACCACTGGTCCTGGTGCTGAACACCACTGGTCCTGGTGCTGAACACCACTGGTCCTGGTGCTGAACACCACTGATGCTGAGGCTGCAGTAGCCTCCAAAAGGTCTTTTTATCTACAGGTATGAGTATTGTGTCCTACCTCTAACCTTGTGCTATGAACCCATATACAACAGTGTGTAGAATATTTTATACAGCAGCTAAATCAGAAGATACCTGAACGAACTATTATAGTTTCTACATAATGAATGTAACATGTTGAATGCCAATCTGTTTTGTCAGAAAGTAACTTTAGTGGATCAGGTCTAAAGGTCAGGATATCATTTTTCCACTTTATAATCAAAGTGGTGTAAAAATGAGACAGAAACTGGTTATTTTCTCTTTTAATCTGACATTAAAATTGAAGAAGACATTTTTATTAACACCCTCATTGTTAGGCTCAGATTTAAACTACAGAATGGAAAAATAAGTAAATTTGGTATTAATAGTATACTGATCTCAGTCACTTAAACATTAAACACTCACAATGATGTCGTGTTCTGTGTCCCCTTGGTCCCCAGCCACCCCCCCACCCCCTGTTCATCCTCTGCGTTCCCCTCATGTGTCCCCTCGTGCTCTGTGTGTCTCCTTGTGTTCTCCAGCTCCCTCTAGGCTTCCCTCATGTTTCCTCCTAGTCACTCCCGTGTAGTTCTTATTGGTTTGTATTAGTCCTCCTCACCCCTCTAGTCATTGGTTGTTTGTCTTTGCTCTTAATCTTTAGGTTTAGTTATTTAGTGTTTTATAGATTATGGTTTATCTTCCCCTCTGCTTAAGTTCTTTCCCCATTTAGTTTATTGATGGCGCCTGTCTTCCCTCCAGACCTCACTCCTCACACCTGTCACCTGTTCCCCTGATTGCTCCCCTATGCGTTTAAAACCCCTGTCTTGTCCATCAGTGTTTGTTGGTCCGTTGTCTTTGTTAGCGTTGTTCTGCCCTCCTCTAGTAACTCCAGGTCCTTGCTCATAAATGAGCTATTGTTTTTGTAATTCAGTTTTCCTAGTTGCTTGGCTCGGCTTCCTGCCCTTGGAAATGACTCATCATCCTAAATTAAGGATTTTTTTTTTCATTTATTCAACCGCTCCTGCCTGAGTTGTTGTCTGGATTTCTGCATTTCGGGTCCAAACCTCCTGCTCCCAACATGACAAATGATGGTTAAATCAGCCCTCACGCGTTTTTTGATGTGGCTTTCAAAATAAAAGCAGAGTTCCAGGTAGTCTTCACATCAGACCAGTAAAAGAAAACAAAATATAGAAACAGAAAAATCAGTAGATTGTGATTTCAGGGTGTTTTTAGCAGTGTGAGGTATAAGTTACCTTTAGGTAAGGTTTTGTTTTAGGTGAGTGCTAACATCCTTAACTGAAACTCTGTTGCTGCCATGTTTGGGTAGACTCCAGTAAAATAGTCACTAAAAGGTTCAGTTTTATTCCAAAAATCATCTGTCGAATTTGAAATAAAAGGGTTATTACTGTAGGGCAGCCACCACCAGCTGATCCTGCTTTGCTAAGAGAACAACAGGAAATGAACTTAGCTATTTAAACAGCCGACATGGACTTCAAACAAATTCCAGGAAATGTGCATGTAAGAAAAAACCAAATAACAGGACACTGAGTGAGGATAAATGTACTGTAAGTGCTTCCTATTTCTTGTGAAAATGCGACGAATAATTCCAGTAAATTGCAAGTGAAAGTAAAAAAACTAGAATCTGGTGCAGAAGTTCTTAAATGTCAGTAATTCTACCTAAAAGGTGAATCCGAGACAGTCTAATTCCAGGCAGATCCAGATGTTTCAGCCTTTATTTGTTATAACTGTGATGAGTATGGCTTACAGCTGATGAAAACCCCACATTCAACATCTCAGACAATCAGAATATTGACTCAAAAGACTCGAACTGTCACTCTGATCAGCTGATGAGTCCAGAACACCTGCAGGGGGTTCCTAGGCCTTTAGATGGTCTCTCAGTCTGAGCTGTTTTACTGACATTAATGGACTTTTGCTACAGATACAAGTTTTTGTTGTTTCAATGTACAATTTAGAGCTTTAATGTGAAATGTTCCAACCCCATAAGAGCGCCCCCTGCAGCCCCAGGCCATCAATCAGGTGCAACATCTGCTGACGCTCTAACAGAATGTTCTGATCCGGTTCTAAAACATGCGTCTGTTCGGCTCTGATGGGTCGAACAGCAGTTCTGTTCAGATCCACCTTGCTGGAATAAAGACCCCTCCCCATCCATCCTCATGGTGCGTTGCCAAGGTAACGGACCATTACAGGAGGCTGCTGAAGTGTTCTCTGCCCAATGACGTTATAGTGACGTTTACGTATGATTTTTGACTGCCATAGCTGAATCATCTTTTTTCAGTCCCTGGCTAAACACACGCGCGCGCGCGTGCGCGGCCTGTGTGCGTTGAGGACGAGGGGGGAGGCGGACCCACCAGTCCTCTCCAGACCTCCTGAGTCTGTCAGACAGAAGCAGCAGGGGTAAGTAGGCTTTCATCTTTCCAGCTGTCTGTAAAAAAGCGTGGACGTCACCGCGTTAGATCAAACATTACGTCACTTAGAGCAAGTAACAGGTGACGGGACCGAGGGTTAGCTGGTGTCGGTTCTTCTGGCAAGGAAGCGGGACCAAAACCACCGGACAAAAGAGATAACAGAGGGACCGGTTCTAGGTCCAAATGCACACGTCCGGACGGGTTCTCAAGACGAGAGACAGAAGCGACGCACGTGCACGTAACCGATAACTTCCGGTTTTGCGGAGATGCATTAGTTGGTTTTTCATCGTTTTGTGTGTGTGTGTGTGTGTGTGTGTGTGTGTGTGTGTGTGTGTGTGTGTGTGTGTGTGTGTGTGTGTGTGTGTGTGTGTGTGTGTGTGCTACTCTAAGGGTTCTGATGACGTTTCTATTACCGGATGTCTTTACTGGATGTACATTGATGTCAACATGGTTTAATAAAGGTTTATGAATTTTGAATGAAGATGTGAACCCTTACACCTGTAATCTGAACAATCACACCTGGTGGTGCTTATGCCTGCTCCCTCAGTGGGATTGGTGTAAAACTTCACTTCTGCTGACGTGACGGGGGGTGGGTAGTCTGTGATGTTTCAGCTGATAACAGGGAATTTAACTGACACATACGCTTCATAATAGCCAGGAGGACGAGGAGACTGTAATAACATCGGAACTACAGATATCGTTGTTTCACTCAGCAGTTATGGTTACAGGTTGGAACAAACTCGCTGTCACTGCTAACAACAACCTGAGACCTGTCTAAGAGAGACTGGACATGATGAAGGTTATTCTGCACGATCTGGACAATTCCAGCTGGAAACCCAAGCCCTCTTCGGTTGTTTCACTTTAACACCCTTAGTTTAATGTTGCTGTGGCTCCTACCGACCACACCTTTGACACACACATTGCTGTCATGTTTCTGAACTTCGACCCATTCAGGACCAGCTGCAGTTTATTCCCCAAAGTGAACGACATAAATTAGTCAAATTAACCCTAATGACCCGGATGAAAAACCAAACCTCAGAACAGTCTGTTTAATCCTCTCAGGCTCAAATTAAGTTTTTCATAAAAGGACGAACAACTAAGTCCTTCAGGGTACTTCCGAGTTTAAAAATGCTCATGAAACACGTATGTGGAGTAACCAGGTAGGTAGGTTTTATCTGCAACGCCTGTCTCCAGAGGGTTATAATCTGTCTCTGCTCCTCAGGTGATGGAGGATTTAAGCCCCCGTCATGGCGGCTCCATGTTTGTAGGCCTGGTGGGAGCATCGCAGGTGCTTGGATTGCTGTCCGTGGTCCTGACTGGGGTATGGATGGGTCACTACCAGGGCGGTTTTGCTTGGGATGGCTCAGCACAGGAGTTCAACTTGCATCCTCTTTGTATGGTGCTGGGTCTGGTCTTCCTGCAGGGTGACGGTGAGTTTGAACTGATTCTGGAACAACAGCCTGGCTGCAGGCTAAAACATGAGTCAGTCACACTTTACATCACAGCACAGACAGAGCTCTTTAGGTCAGATTATCTGAAGATCACTGTCAGTTAAAGGATTCTGTTATTCTCATCCAGTGTTAGACCTACCAAACTTTTCAGTTGTGGGCTCTAGCAAACCTTTCTTTGCCATCCAAGGGTCTGACTGTTATGTATTTAACCTGGTTGTTTGTCATGGTTACAAAATGTCTTAAAATCCAGTGTAAGTGGCGCAAAACAGCATCACAACACTGATACTGCATTTTGCCTGGTTTGTTCCCGGTTGAGTATGTGTGTGTGTGTGTGTGTGTGTGTGCGTGTGTGTGTGTGTGTGTGTGTGTGTGTGTGTGTGTGTGCCCTTGCCTTAAGCTACTGTGTAGCTGATTTATAGCATTAAGCCAAGAAAGAGCAGATATCCATCAGACCAATCCGAGCCCAACCCGACCAGCACAGCCTCTACCACAACAGTGATTCTAATTTACACACACACACACACACACACACACACACACACACACACACACACACACACACACACACACACACACACACACACACACACACACACACACACGTCTGTTTTTCTTTTTTTTATTTTTATTTTATTGAGCATTAACATTGTAGTATAAAGATAAACATAAAGCACAGCCACAATGCTCCTATTTGTATAATAACCCCACCCTAAGAACATGTTGGACGTCGTTCCAGACTGGGGTAAAAGTTTAAATAAATAAATGAAATAAGTGGATTTAGATGAAGTACACAAAAAAAGAGAGAAGAAAAAAGAACAGAAAAAATTCACCATATTTGAAAAAGTGCACTTAAAGAGAAACTATTTACACAAAATTAATCACAATCACAAAGAGGATATGCGGCAGCCGCTGGACGACTCTCAGACGGGTATGGTTCTGATTTTCTCTAGATGTTTTAGCAATGCACCCCAAACGGCGAAGAATCTCTCATTGGACCCCCTGAGAGCATACTTTATCTTTTCCAGCTGTATAAATTGTGTCAGGCCGCTAAACCATAAAGCGAGTTTGGGTGGCTTTTTTGACTTCCAATGCAATAAATTCCTTCTGCGCGCAAGCAGCGTAGTGAAAGCAATTATGTTTTTATAACTCCCCCTTAATGTTCGATGTCCTCTGTCAATGGCACCAAATTTGGCCATAGCTGCACTGGGCTGAAGCTCAACATTCATTGTTCAGACATTGTTTTGAAAATTGTTGACCATTAGGTTTTTAAAGTTGGACATGACCAAAACATACGCGTTAAATCTGCAGAGGGATTTCTACATCTCTCACAGCTTGCATCCATGTTTGGAAATATTTTAGCCAGTCTTGCCTTGGTAAGAATGGTGTAGGATCTTGAACTGTATGATGTTTAATTTGGCACATGCAGTGCTGTTATTTACTCTTAAAAGAGCACTCTCCCAAGTCTCCTCCTCCAAGTGAGCCCCCAGCTCATCCTCCCAGTCTGCTCTGATCTTCGCCATTGTTATATTCCTAAAGGATGCTATGCAATTACTAAGTCTTGAGGATTTCAGCAGATTATCTATACCAGTTGTGGGTAATAAATTTGGGAAGTTCTGGTTACTATGCTGAAGGAAATGTCGAACTTGAAAGTATCTAAATAAACTGGACCGAGGGAGGTCCAATTTGTGTGACAGGTCCTGAAAACTTGCCAAAACACTGTCTATGTACATGTCAGAAAAATTATGGATGCCTCGTCTCTGTCAAATGGCAAATTCAGAATCTAATCTGGCCAGGGGGAAAAGGTGATTATTGTGTATGGGGCTCAAATGGAGAAGGTTTTTAAACCCAAAGTTCTTTCAAAATTGAGCCCACATTTTGAGGGTATCAATAACTATAGGACTGGTGGTGGTGTGCTGCGGTGAGGGGATCGGTAGGCTGGAGGTGGCCAAGGCTCTAAGAGAAGTGGAGATGCAAGGCAGCATCTCAATTTGGCACCAGTCTTCATCAGGGGTATGGAGCCAATACATGATTTTTTGAACATTTGAGGCCCAATAGTAATGACAGAAATTTGGAAGGGCTAAGCCACCTAGGTTTTTCGGCCTCTGTAACAGATCCAACCGTATTCTAGGCTTTTTCCCATCCCATATAAATGAAATTAAAGCTTTATCAATAGATTTAAAAATGATTTTGGAAGGTAAAGTGGGATACACTGAAAAGATTCGACACCTGGGGAGTATATTCATTTTTATACAATTTACCTTCCCTGCCAACGATAGATGAAGTGGCTTCCATTTCTTTAGGTCTGATTAGACTTTTTCAAATAGCAAACTAAAATTTTTGTCATATAGATTGTGCAGATCTCTTATTATATTTATGCCAAGGTATTTAAAGCCGTTCTTGGTTATTTTGAAAGGTATAGCACTGTTATGTATCTGAAGAGCCAGATCATTGACAGGATAGCATTCACTTTTACTGAAGTTCAGGGTGTACCCAGAGAAGGAGCCAAAGCTGCTTAGCGTGTGGATTATATGAGGGACACGGGACAAGGTCAGATACGTACATTAACAGATCGTCCGCATAAAGGGACACTCTATGCTCTCTATCCATCCTGAAGATCCCTGTAATTCATGGCAAAGTTTTGAGCAGAGGTGGAAAGAGTACTAAAATGTTGTACTTAAGTACAAGTATAATTACTTTCATGAAATTTTACTCAATTACAAGTAAAATTACCTGCCTCAAAATGTACTCAAGTAAAAGTAAAAAGTAGCTTATTTCAAATGTAGTCAGAGTAAAAGTTACTTAGTTACTTTTTTGACAGTGCAAGGACGGGCTCTTCTGAATAGTTAAAAAAAAAGACAATGGGGTATAAATGTCAAAGTGGCCGTTTTTTTAATTAAATGAACAAATATGCATATTGAAGTACAAAGGCAGTTACACTGCAAACTAGTAACATAAATTAGGTTATAGTCACAAGCCCATGACTTTTCCCTGAATGCTCATTTAGAGCAGCTGATTTTTAAAGTTAGCAGAGTTCATCTTTGGTAGTGGGTTCACTCACTCATTTAAAGATATCGGCCAGAGGCAAAATTTGTTTGAACAGCATGTGTAAATGTGTATTAAAATCTCAGATGAAAAAGGTTTTTGGATTTTGACGGTTGGAATTGTAAGAAAATCAGATGTTTGTGACCGGCGCAGGAAAAACGGAAACTAACGTCCGGTCTAAGCCTTGGGCAGCAGTTGACGTTTCACATGGAGCTCTGCTGAAACAGCTGTAGTAAACAACGCCTGGCTCCGGTGTTTCTGCGTTAGCGTTATAGCAGAGAACAATGTGTCATCAATCAGATGTAGCTTCTGAAGCCTCTACTAGTCGATCAGATTTGTTTTTTCTCTGGGATACGGCGACGAGAACGGATGTTAGATTACTGGAGAAGTTCAACCGAACTCCGACCCCGCCAGCTGGATATCACTACCAGAGGTGCAGACATGTTTTAGACCGTTTGACTCAGAAGACCTGCGACCTGATTTGGACATAGAGGAGGATTCTGTTCATCTTCAGAACCAAAATCGGTACAGTTTGTTTACTTTTCTTAAATATTTCATTTCTGTGCTCCACTGGGAGCTCTAAGCTGACAAGTTTTCAGCTGGTTTTAGCTCCATCATGTGTCCCAATATAGTTCAGTAATCTACAGTTTTACTGCTGTGTGTATTTATTGATATAACTCTGGAAAATAATGAACCTACAATTTACCAGAATAAATCTTCATGATGCTGGAGTAACTCCTTAGCTCAACTCGTTGTTTGCACTAATCCAGGATGTCATGGAGGTTTTAATGTTGAAATATAGAGATCATCTTTTAGATTATATCTCTGTGTGTGTGTGTGTGTGTGTGTGTGTGTGTGTGTGTGTGTGTGTGTGTGTGTGTGTGTGTGTGTGTGTGTGTGTGTGTGTGTCGTAGCTTTCCCAAAGGACTTGTTCTTTCCTTACCGGAGCAAACACGGTTAGTTTTGCTGCAGTCATGCTAACGGGACTCGTCTGGAGTCCTGAAGTAGCGGTGCGGTTCTAGATGGATTTATAGTTGTAGGTTATTATTTTAGATCAGACCTGTTATTTAAAAATGCGTGTAGGACACAGACACATGGCTCAGACCTTTTGCTGCAGCTGTAAACGCAATTTTACGTAATAATTAGGAGCATGAAAGTAAACAAATAACAGTGATTCACAATATTAGCATCAGCAGCTAGCTTGTTTTACGTGCTGGAGTGACGTATGCGAAACACAGTTCTTCACTGTCTGGAGGAGAGGATTTGGATTTTCTGTAATGATTTATGACAAAAGTCCTTAATAAAATAAAAAACTGGACCCAGTACATGTTTATATAGATAATAAAGTGTAGTTATTTTGCATTTCTACAATTTTAATGCCGAGCCAATACCTTTAACCCTTCACCACTGAAATTAGTTTGTTCATTCCAATCCTCCTAAATAATCCTCCAATCATCCAACTGGAATCCTTAAGGGTCCTGTAACGTCCATCCTGTCAGAATAGGCCTTGGGAGCCCAGGTGTTACTAGAACTAATGGTGTCTCCTCACCAGCGTGAGCCTCCAAACTGTGATGGTTGGTCTCCAAACATGAACTTAATTCATGCATTTATCTCCTCTTGTAACACTTTAACATGTTTTAAAAGGCTTGTATCATGATAAGTTACACCTCCCAGACCAAAGATAGGTCCAATATAAGGAAAATACAAGTTATTTTCCTGAGCCATTACTTCAGCCAAGATATAGGATGCATGGATTTGATGAAGCCATGCTGTCTTATGCAGTCCCACACACACACACACACACATGCACACACACACACACACACACACACACACACACACACACACACACACACACACACACACACACACACACACACACACACACACACACACACACACAGCAGCATGTTAGAATCATGTGAATGACTAATTTA